TATATGTATATTGTGTATACACACATACATAGTACACATTGCATACATGAATCCAGAACATACACGTATGCATGCATACATTTCTCAATTCCGTCCCAATAACAGAACAGTTGAAAAGTACCCTCATATTTTATGGAAACTTCTTTGCTATTTTCGAATTCATTTTTATTATTTTTTTGCGTGATATCTGCACGTACGGACAGAGTAAAAGACTCTTTATTCTAAAACATATTGCAAATTGGTTTCAAAATGGATTAAGAATGAATTTTTCATTACGTCTGTACGTACGTATGTATGTCGCATAACTCAGAAAAAATTAACCGCATACACATTGAAATTTGTACATGGGTCTGCTGTGACATCTACATAGTTATGAACCTCTCTTTTTTACTGGGGTTTATAATTATTTTACCTCCTCATATCTACCCCTCTTACCCGATTTATATTTTCGCAATCGTTCGTTGTAGACATATACTTCATAATACAAAACGCGGCGGAAGATAATTTGTTATCATCAGTATTTTGGCACTGGGTCTCGTTTCTGTCTCCCCAATTGCTCTATTTAAGTGAGAAAAATACAAAGAATTATCATCATCCCCGCTGCGTCCTATTATTATGTAACTGGTAGCGGGTCCAGCTTGCAGTCAAAACATCATGGTGTGAATCCCGAAGTGGGCAAAGCTCATTTTTCATGTTTTCAGCTCCTAAAATAAAATCTAATAGCTTCACAATCAGCAATTCAATCAGCAGTTTCTGTTACTGAAATTTTCACACAGGTGACATGATTTTCTCCGAATCTTTCGAAAAAGTAGACAGAACGCTTTTTATTCACATCAGTGGCACCACATAGCTTACTTGTAGCCTATTAAATTATGCACTTTTTACTGCACTTCATTAAACTTATTTCCTCGAATTATTCTAGCTTAATAAACCGATCAGTAGTATTATAAATGACGAAAATATTCGTGTTTCGGTAATTTCAAAATTAAAAAAAAATTGATTTGGACAAGTAATGAAATAAAACTTTTAATGCGGTCTCCCGGTTCCTATATTTATATTTAGAAAAAGTTTATACTCTTTATGAAAAAATAAGAAGTTTGACTTCTGTACGATAAGCACTGATAAGGATATTTAATTTCAAAATTTGCAGTTTTTGATGTCATTTTCAACTCTACTGATCGGTTTATTAAGCTAGAATAATTCGAGGAAATAAGTTTAAATGAAGTGCAGTAAAAATGTGCATAATTTAATAGGCTTACAAGTAAGCTATGTGGTGCCCACTGATGTTGAATAAAAAGCGTTCTGTCTACTTTTCGAAAGATTCGGAGAAAAATCATGTCACCTGTGTGAAAATTTCAGTAACAGAACTGCTGATTGAATTGCTGATTGTGAAGCTATTAGATTTTATTTTAGGAGCTGAAAACATGAAAAATGAGCTTTGCCCACTTCGGGATTCACACCATGATGTTTTGACTGCAAGCTGGACCCGCTACCAGTTACATAATAATAGGACGCAGCGGGGATGATGATAATTCTTTGTATTTTTCTCTCACTTAAATAGAGCAATTGGGGAGACAGAAACGAGACCCAGTGCCAAAAATACTGATGATAACAAATTATCTTCCGCCGCGTTTTCTTCGGGAGCTATTGTAGAGTTATTATGGTTTTTAAGATAGAAAACAAGAGAAATAAACCATAGTCTGGCTGGACTTCAAACGGCAGATCATGTATCAGTTAGAAAAGTATATGGGACACCAGAATTTCACCGGTGGTCCTACAGGTATATTCTAACTTCGCTATACTTTCAACTTCGCCCTTGTACTGTGAGGAACATGCCAGGAGACGGATCCCAAGACCTCCGACTCCTTTTCCCTTACTGCCAAACTGCTTGAGAAGACTTACCAGTATTTAGAGTTACCAGTATTTTAAAGCGTCTTCATGTCACTCAATATATCCCTGCCTTCTCAAAATAATCCAAATGATATGCAGCCAGCATCTTCAGCCACTATACCGAACAGGTGGGCTACTAGTTACAACACAAGAACATACACGTAGAAAAGCGGTAATACCTTGTAAATGTGCTCTTTAAAGAAAAAACATATGAAGTTACGTAATTCGAAGCAATGGAAGTGCATGTTGTAATACAAATGGATTTAAAGCATCTTTCAACCAGTCGACAAAATGTCAAAGCTTCATTCTTCATAAATAATAATGATCCCTATCATGGTTACTATCACTTTATTTCTCAGATTCCTTTTTCTTTGATCCCGTTGTTCTCTCTAATCAAGATATTCTAAGGTTTATTCAGCTTGTCACTCATCGAAAGTTGGGTTCCAGTAGCTTCAGCGAACTCTCTTGCAATGTGCTAGTTGTCTATTCATGTTAGCAATAGTTGCTCAATAACGGTCCTGAAAATCTGTAGTGGCATATATTCGACCTTGAGTTGGTTTTCTGCATACACCACAAATGTCCTTAAGCGCCGCCCAACCGGGATAGTGATTAGCAACGCTGACTGCCATACCGAAGGGCCGGGTTCGAATCCTGGAGAAGGCATGGATTTTTGTAAATGTGCAATATCTGTGCAGCATGGGAGCTCTCTAAACATGCAGCGAAGCCGCTTCTCGAGAGGATTTTCGTCGAGAGGCTAATAGTAGGAGAAGAGGAGTGGGAGACCCTCGGCCTTCCCGGGGTGTTCTTTATCTAAATTGGGGGCGGAAGTGAGCAAAGTCGTACTGTCACCTTCATAGTGCTCGGAGCTCTGTATGGTGCCAATGACATGGCCCAATCTTGCATTCCTTGCCTCGATGAATTTCGTGGGCTTGTTTTGATGTTGCTGTCATACAAATGAGATGAGTCACGACAGCTACAATAGGTCTTTAAGCCGTTTTTAGATTTTTGACAAGATGCTTTTGGATGCTTTTAGAGCTTGTGACGGCATGATCAACGTTAAGCTATAGACTAAAAGTATCATCACATCACGTAAAAAGTGACACCATCAATGGGATCAAGAAAGACAAGGCCTCAAAACATTTCAGTTTTTTTCCAAAAGGTCAATGTTATATCAGCGTATAACATTGATATAATCAATCGTTATATCAGCGTATTTTATATCGCAATACATATTGGACATGGCCCCTTCCCCATTTATTTCAATGACAGAAATTTAGCAATCGCTGATCTGTGTGTATGTACGGAAATGGGACATCTTGACCACTACCTCTTTATATGTCCTCTAACTAAGAGATTTCACATTAAACACCCAAATAATTATGATGTCAAATTTAAATAGTTCTTGGTACAAATCAGAAAGTGTAAGATGGTAAACATAAAAGCAATTTTTACACAAGAAACACCTTTCTTCCGTCTGCTTATGACTACAACAGCTTTTTTTATTTGGGAAATAACTCAATTATTAGTATTTTATTTTTCTTGTCTGAAAAGAGGCCGAAAAGTTTAAATCTACAAACAAAATAAATAAAAAAATCTAAAGCAAATTTTGAAAAAAATCGGTTTAACATACTGAACTGTCATCGACAAACAGTTTAAGTACAAAATTTGAATTCGATAGCTTATCAGGAAGTAAGTTAAAAATCGATGACGAAATTTCAATCACAGTGAAACACCATGAGTGAACTAAATAAAAGCTTATAAAAATTGAGAAATAAATTATCTTTCACACAAAAGAATGGAATATGGATATTAAATGACTTTTTTATACGGCTTATGAAATTACATATATTTTTGCTGCACTTCATTTAAACTTATTTCTTCGAACTATTCTAACTTAATCGATCTCTCAAGGCAAGTTGAAAATGACACCAAAAATTGCAAATTTCGAAATCAAATATTCCTGTCAGTTTTTGTCGTACGGGAGTCGTTAAAATTTCCTTTTTTCATAATGAGTATAAAATTTTCCCAAATATAAATTTAGGAACCGGAAGACTGCATTCGAAGTTAGATGTCGCTATATGTTAATTTTTTTTTAATGAACAGTGCCAAACCACAAATGTTTTTGTCATTTAAAACACTTCTGTATATGACTACAACAAACAATTGTAAAAATAAAGACCGTATAATGATTTTTAATCCGGGCAAGGAATGTGTGTGTATATGCATATGTATATATAGGGTGGTTATAAGGAAACTTTGCCAACATCTGCAGTTCTAGCATCCGTTCCGGTTAACCGATCGACATGATACTGCAAGTACAGTTATTTGGAGGTATGCGTTCGAGATTCTATGAATGGCAACGCCAACTTTTTCCGTCAGAAAATGTTCAACGCATGCGAAAACAGCGTTGGAACGAATGCGAAAACCGGTTGGAACGGTACCGATATGTCCCAAAACGGACGTGTTATGCATACACACACACACACACACACACACAAAAAAAAAAAAAAAAAAAAAAAAAGACTTCTGAAAACCAGCCAACGAAACACGATCTGGATTCACGCAGAAAATTTGCATATGACAGAGACAAGACACAGATCACTGATGACAACACATATCGGACAAAAGAATACCTTTATTTAGATCAAACATTTTCCACATGGGTGCCGTCACAGGCAAGTGTGCATTGCATGCGGGAGACGGTGGACAAAACAGCTGAACGCAACATGGCCTGAGGGATGTTTGCAATCCCACACCGTATAGAATCCTTTAAATCCGACAAAGTTTACTGACTGCACATGTTTGCAGTTGATTTGTGATATCCCCCCCAAAAAAAACAGCAATTAAAAGGCGTCAAATCGGGGGGGGGATAATTTTTTCTTGATGTGTATGCATAGATGTCACGAAACAATACAATCTGAAACCATTTTACGATCTGTTTTGGAATAAAGAGTCCTTTATTCTGTCCGTATGTGGAGAAATCACGCAGACAAAATAGTCAAAATGGATATTTCCATTGAAATTCAATTTTCGCACTACAACCAATTCAAAATCACAAAACTTCGTTTACTTCGTACGATTAAGTAAATAGGCGAAGATTTGACACTTACTTGTAGAAAAGGAGGCAAATGAAGGCATGCAGCAAAATGTTCACGAAGTGATATCCAAAGGGGGCGAGACCGTGGACGGCATAGTTCAGTCGAAAACTCAGGACAGTAAGTGGACGGTAAGACTTGTGACTGTGATCCTACAAAAGAAATATTAGATAAATTTCAAATTTAACAGAATGCTAATTCATCTGCATGTAAATAATCATAGCCTTTGGGAGACATTTCTTCATATTTAAAACATCAAAGAGGATATTTCAAAGAAAATTCACTTTTCCTTGTTAAAACATCAGAGGGAATTTATTCGCATCCTATTGTTAAAAACATCAAAGAAAATAGTAACTCGAGTACATGTTTCTATTAATTATTTGTATAATGTCGTTTTAGAGGCAGCCCGAAAGATTCGTTTTCCTACATGACAGATTTTCTCTTGAGATCTTACTTAATTAAAATGAATTTGAAAATGACCTAATTTGAAGGAAGTGGAAATTTGTTACATTATCAGGTTCAATGTTCCGTCTAACCTTCTTCGGGAACATGCAAGGACCTGACTCGAAACAGAGAGCTTACTAAAACTATGTTCAAAACTGTGGGAAGTAGACAGGATACACAAGAAGGGTATACCCTTTATTTTTCTCTATTTACAATAACTTCCGTACTTCGGAAATACACAGACACGCTACTTGGGGTCAAAACGTAAAAGTATAAAAATAAAACTAAACTCTAATTTAATTTTAAAATAATAAACGTGGAAGATTGGTCTTATCTTAACAGGAAACCGTATGTAGTACAGAGAGAACTGTGAACACTACAATACGTTTAAAAATTATCAAGAGGATTAAAACCTCTGGCCTGGACGGCAACCAGCAACTGAGTAAAACTTCTAAGGTAAGCGGCCTGCTTCGACTAACTGCTTCTCTCTCTCTCCTCGCTTGGCAAAAGAACACAACTTAAATACTTGGCGTTCGCCAGACAAACTTTGCATAAATACTTTAACGCTTATAATTCTGGCCGGAAGTAGAAAATAAGAAGTGATAGTAAAGATTTAAAATAAAATAAACGTTAGTAAAACTTAAGATCCTTACAACATAAAGCAAACATATTTCGGGTACAAATCTTTTTCTCTAAGTAACAGAATCCTCATAGTTATAGCCAAATTTGAATGTACAAATTTTGATGAAAAGTCATTCTCAGACATTTTTCCAGTGGAGACGACTTGTATAAATTAGAATGTTCTGGCGACCACCTTACTCACGCCTCTTTGAAATCAATCTTTTAGGAAATGTTACTAAAAGTATACATGTATTTAAAAATATAGATAATTCAAACTTTTTTCTCTTATAGAGTTATTACAACAATTAGGCTTCGAATCCTAATTGTTATAATTGTTATAATCCTAATTGTTATATCCTAATCCTAATTGTTATAATTGTTCCTAATTGTTATAATCCTAATTGTTAATATTAAACAATTAGGCTTCGAATCCCGATGTTCATTAAAATTTTTTGAAGTGCATTTCCAAAAAAGTTTTTTTTTCCCGAATTATAGCGCTATCAAACGTGAATTTCAACATTTGTGATTCTGCTGCAAAATATTTATCCCTGCAGAAATTTGAATTCACATTCTTCCGTTGCAAGCAAATTCCACAAATACTCTCTCGATTATCCAGCTGCAGATTATCCGTCAGTGGTGATGCCCATGCACGCACATTCAGCGTTATGTGCGAAACTGTGTAAAGAGTAAATAATCGTAAACTGGAGCACGCTCCAAAAACCGTTGGATTACGTCTTTAGGTTTAGTTGCAACGATAACCATGTGCATAGTTGAAGGTACGGTTTCGATCGATCTCTGTGAATTCTTTTCCATATGTATTTTCGTGCATATTTTCTTTTTATGCTTTAGACTGTTAATTTAAAGTTTTAGAGCTGAAATAGGTAAAGAACGCTTCAATATTGAGCACATAAAAGTTGTTTTAATATTTAAAAAAAAATAGGAATCATTCGAAAGGTTTGAACATGGTGAATCGACAAGGTACGCCGAAGAATATGGAATATCAAAAACTTCATGATAATTACTAAACATAAAAGAAAAGGTTAGAGACCTTTACTGTTCCACTCTTCTCATTACTCTTGCTGAGGAAAGTGACGATTTAATAAAGTTCTGGAAACCGTTGATTGTATTGAATGCCACATACGGAGTAACAAAAGCCTGGTTGAAAGTAAAACCAATAACACTTTTTTTTATCTCGGAGAAATTTTACTCCTAATATGTAAATCGGAGATTTATCTAATTTTAAAGAAGTCGAGGTAATAACTGAAGTTGCATGCCAAAAAATTGAAAATGTGAAATTCTTCGAAAATTTCGATCGTGAAAATATCGAGGAATATTTCAATGGCAATACGACTGAGCCGGGCTTTCAATGCTTGAGTCATCACTCAAGCACTGAAAGCCGGAATATTGTTTCAAATGTCAAAAGAACAGAAGAGGCAGTGAGTGATGCCGAAAACACAAGCGAAGAAACTATTGACAATTACATTAGCCTCGAGACAGCAGCGACTTCTTTTGAACTCAATTGGACTTTCTCGAGCTAAGGGGATTTGAATACAACGGTAAAATAGCCATTCGAAAAATACGCATTGAAATTCGTCAAATATTTAAACGTTCTCAAAAAAAAAAAAAAAAAAAAAAGTAAAATTTACTTTTTTTAAGAAATGAGCACCCACAATATGCATGAAAATTAATAGTTTGGATTATTTGTGCTTTCAAATTTTCTGTGAGCCTTTTCATTAGCATTAACTCGGATAATTGAGGGTATATCGTATTTTAAATTTCGGTTTAAGCCTAATATTGCTGCTTAGCATCATAGCTTGTAATATTTAAAAAAATAACGAAGATGCTTTCTTAAGTCGATATTTGCATTTTCACAGTTTGCAGTTTTTTCATTGCACAGTTTGGCAGAGTTTGACGACTTCCTAGCTTGTTACGCTAGTACGCTATGCTAACCTATAAGGTATTTTTCACCTTCTCGGCATACCTTCGTGGTATGGTGGTCTGCATGCTGAGCGCGTATTCCAGAGGTCCGCGGTTCGAATCCCGGCGAAGGCGTTGCTAATTTTTTATGACTCCTGCTTCCAATTTACCTAATGTCTCTACAACCCCATACGAAATGGTTTTACACAGGCTGCTAGAACTCTATAGATATTCCTTTAGGAATTTATACGCAGTCCTTTATAGAAAAGCTTCTTTACGAAATTCTATAGAAATTTTATAAAGAAACTCTATAGAAATGATGCTTTGTAAACTGATATATAGGCGGCCCTCGAGTTTTGAACATAATTAGTTCCTGAAAATGTGTGCAAATGTTAAATGTACGAAAGTAAAAAGATGTAAAAAAATTTAAATTTTAAATTTCATTTAAAAATATTTATTTACCTATACATTTAAGTAAGTTAACGAGGCGTGTTTAAGCGTTTTCAGGTGTTTTATTTACAAACTTATCAAGAGTTAGTTAAAAACCACTCTTTTTATTTTTGTTTTCTTGATCTCTACAGTATGCTGTGTCATTCTCAGCAAGATACACTTTCTTCATTGCAATCACATTCTTCCATAATAATAAAAACTTGTCGACGTGCATTTAAGGCTTCATTCTTATTTCTGAGTCTTAAAGTATTGACAATTTTTATCAGCTTTTTCTTCCTTATTTTTATCGCATATTTCATTTAACTCTTGGTCCACAGTTAAGTATTTATTTGTCAAAGGTACTGAGTGAAATTCCATCAACTCGTTAACACCTTCGTTGTTGATGTTGAAATTGAATTCATTCATTTTGCTATTTATTTTCTGCGATAGTTCTCGAAGTTTCTTCAGAATTCATAAAATCCCATATCATTTGTGGGCATAATTATTTCATGAACCTTTCGCTGTTGACTCTTTTATTTAAGTCCGCGAAACTCCAGTACTTTTTATTGTGCTCAATATAGTATTGTGCTCAATATTTCTTCCAAAAATCTCTGAGCGTAGAACCACTATTCATACCAGTTGTCTTCATGGTCTATTTCATTACTGGCGCTATATATTGTCTTTTAAACGCAGCTATCACTGTTTGATATACGAACTCTGAAAGGCAGGTTGTATCAAGAAGATAAATATAGCATTGGCTTCCTCGTATAAATTCTGCAGAGATTTTAGGAAGATTAATAATGCTCTAAACTGTAAATTTTTAACTTTACAATATTGCTTAACTGCCGACAAGAAATGAAAAGTGAACCAATTTTTAAATATTTATGCAGTAACCTAGGCCTTTTATTTTATTTCCAAACGACTGGAAGAAAATTCTTTATTTTTCTCTCCTTTTCAAGGTTCAAGGATTTTCTGCTTGATAAATTAACATTGGCTTCAATTTAAAATCAAAGTTTTTGCAATATCGATAAAAGTTTTTAAATAACCGAATTTTTAAAAATGTGCGAAATATCCGATTGTGCGAAAAATCGACGGCCACCTGTAAATATTTTGTAAACCCTTTATAGAATGGTATTTGATAGAAATCTGCAAAATTTTCAAACTTTGTTCAATACAAATGTTTAGTTTTTGATGTACTATATTGGATACAGAACAGCAAAAAATAAACGTTTTATTCATAAGTGTTTAATTATTTTTAAGGGCAATTTTGCTCTTTTTCTTCTAGCTTAAAGGTCTCTAAATTTAAAGGCCTAAAATCAATTTAAATCTTAAAATTAAATAAAAGATTAAATTTATGCTGTTAATTAAAAAATTAATTCCTGAAATAAATTATTTTAATTATTGCATATATAACTTTGATAAGACAAATAGTTTTTTAATTAGTAAAACTTAAGTATTATTTAAAATAGATTAATTTTTTGTTTAATCAAAACAAAATTAATATTTATATTAAGAAAAATGTCGATTCCGAAAGTTTTATTGCCCTCACCATATTATAGATCATTTTAAAATTTAGGTTAAAACATACTATTTGGAAACGAAAGTTCAAGTCAGTGTTTTTAATCCCAAAAGAAAATGTTGTAAATTTTACAATGCTTTTAACTCTCGAAAGCTTCTTTACCATCTGTTATAGAACATTAAAGTAAGGAGCTGTTTAGAATTTTAAGGAATTATTGTCTAACTTTCTGTAAACTGAACCTGTATTTTCAGTAAAATTGTATTAATTAATTCTATACACATTACATAAGATTCTTTAGGGTGGACGTTTAGAAACTCTGTATAAATGTTTTATCGAATCGCTTGCACAAATATCTAGAATATATATATTTTGTAAAGTTGATTGCCGCATCACCCGCATTGGGGTAAGGCAAAAATTATTCCACGTATTCCGTATTCGGGTGATGCTTATTTGAATACTTACGAGGTTAAGTTAGTAGGTATTTGAAAAAACTTTCTGAGTGATAAAAGAAAGAAAAGAAAACGATTGCTGCCGACAACTAAATTCATTCCATTCACTAAACTTGAATGGTACTTTTTTCGGTAACAGTTTTTCTTTCTTCCTCCGCAGCCATTTCTTGTATAATATGATCACTTGCATCTACACCACATTCATTATCACTGCATTTATCAGTTTCCAAATCAGAATCTGATGTTGTAATTCTATTTATATTTCTCTTTTTGAAAGGTCTCGGCTGTTCCTCATTTTGGCAGTTTCGTAATAGGTTCTTCTTCACTGCTATATGATTCACTAAGAAATAACTCTTCCATTTTTCTTTTTGACATTCCAAACAATTAGGGCAACAGTTTCAATACAAAAACATTTAACCATTCGCCACTACAGGAAAAAAATATTTTAAAAAGAAGAAATAATTTTCGGATCTCACCTGCTTTCTTAGATACGTCGTTCTTGAGAAAAGTTTTCAACTGAATGCATGCCCCGAAAAATTTCGTTCAAGATGTTCTAAACTCCTACAATTAGAAATAGTTGGAGCACCGTATGCTCAAAATTCTTCAATCAAGCAATATAACTATTTCTTATGAGTTTTATTTTTTGTTGTATTCCAAGTTCCAACTTTTTTTTACAAACAAAACGTGATATTTTTTTTTCTTATTCTCAATTTTAAAATATATGCTTGTGGAATCTGCCAGCAATGGAAGAAACTGTCGTAACATTTTTGCAGGAATACAGAGTTTTGTCACAAAAATCTCTAAACATACTAACGAGCAGGTATGTTTGGTAAATAGCCGATTGTGCTTGTTTGCAGTTTCTTCAGTTTTATAACTTTGAAGCAGATCGCTTTAGAAGAATAGCGCGAAAAATTTACAGAAAGAGTTAAAGAAGAACGTAAATGTTACATTTTTTATGTATACCGTATTATTTAAGAATTAACATTTTTGTTTTAAATTGTTAAAGAGTATTTTCTTTTCATATTGTTGCATGCGTACGGGTTCATAATAGATTGAATGTACAAGTCCGAAAATAGGTTAATAAAAATGTATTCTAATTAAAAAACATATATCAGAACACTTGAATTTCCTCAGAGATATTCGTACAAGTGTTCACAATACCAAGCGGAATAATAAGTAGCTATACTTTAAACTACTAAAACGTTAAAATACAATGCAATGCAAAGAGTTATCTAAAGAGAAAGCCAATTCAGATATCTCAGTTCACGCAGAGCTAAAGAAATCGCAATAGCAGTAGCTAAGCTACTGAGTTGAGATGCTGTTTCTCTGGCTATTATAACTTTCAACCGATCCGCGAGAAACTTCTAATACTTTCTGCTTCTCAAGATTTCTGGAAAGTAATAAGAGGATGGAATTACGGTTACAGATAATATAGTGATCAATTACACTCATTCAATTTTAATACAAATTACCGAGATATCAATTTTCTCAATGTTAAATGCACTTACTCCTGTACTTTTTTTTTCCGGCATAACTTTCTCTTAAATTTTCTCGCGCTGCATTGCACGAGGAAATACAACAATTTTAATTATAATCTGCTAAAATTATCTAACTAAATACAAAATTCGTAAAAATATGTTGATAATATCTGCAGAAAATTCGCGAAACCATTAGCTTGCACCAACCATTAGCAAGTAACTTTTATGTTTTCGTCTGCAAAATATCACTACATTGCGCCAAGATAATTGGTAAAGTGAAGTTGGTAAAGTTGTTGGTGGTGCTAATACTTCAGTTTAAGGAAAAGGGCCATGTTTCTATAAGATATACAAGAGGTTTGACACTAGATTCTTTTTAGAGATTTCTATTAGATATTTTCGCCCTTAATTTATTAACAAAATGTTTGTGTTACTGAAATAAAAAAATTAGCAGTTAATTTTGCAATAAAATACAGAAACTAATGAAATTGATTTAAGTTACCTTTCTGATAGGTGTTCCCCAAAAGTCATTCTGAAATAAATTGAGAATTGGAGTATGCGATCTGATGTCTCTGTTGTCTCTGACGGCGGCCAAGTCATCGAATACTAACCCGCAGTGCAAGGAGTTGCTGTAGCACAGCGCAACAAGCGTCACCAATACAAGAGGGTAAAGCTTTTCAACCTCCATGTCACTGAAAAATAAAATTTTTCATCAACCAAGTAAATATTTAACACTGGCCTGAAAGAAAATTTTATATGTACAAGTGTACAAAGATTTATCATATTCTTGGGTATCATTGGTAAGTGATATTCGAATTAATTAAAAACAAAATGTTTCCATACACCATTTTCACATTTAGGTATTTTTCTGTTAACAGTATGCTACTTACAACCAAACATAACTATTGGTACGAAATCTGACTCGACGGCCACTTAAACGATACATAAATCTTCTTGCAAAGTATAATTGTTTTGTATATAACGAATATAATATATATGTTACCGGCAATGAACAAAATGATTAACATTTTCATATATTTCTTAGGCATTATATAGAATTCTAAATGAAAGACCGGTAAAGTATAAAATATATCTCCGATTTCGAATATCCATATATACAATATTGTTGCGTGCGTACGGGTTCGTTATGAAATGAATGCACAAGTCCGATGAAAAATGAACAAAAATATATTATTATCACAACAGAAATGCTTAAATTTTCTCAAATTATCATGCAGTATCACAATATCTCACAGTAGTTATCTTTTAACTACTCAAATGTACAATAGAACGTAATTCAAAACAGCTAAAGAACGCTAATCCGCGAATTCGCTATAATCAACAACGGCAGTTTTCTAAACAACAACAAACTAAGCAACTACTACTACAAACTGAGATGTTTTCCTCCTTTTATAAGATTTTAAAATCACGCGCTAGAATTTTCCAGCACTTTCTCGAAATCAAAAAGAGATATTTATTTATTTAACGCACGCGCTCTTGTATTTTTTTAATTTTCCGGCTTAGCTTTCTTTTAATATTCGTCACGCGCTGCACTGCGCGAGAAATAAAACCATTTAATTTATAATTGAACTAACATTAGCTTTTTAAATACCAAATTCGTAACACTGCCCCCTTCCCAAGGACTGCACGTCCCGGGCAGTACAATCCCTAAACAGGAAGTCAAACTTACAACTGTGGTGTAAATGCATTAATAAGCATTACATTACAATAATAAACAACATGAACAATAAATGCAATAAATAAAACAAATCAAATGCTATCAAATACAAGTCAAATACAAATCAAATACTAACTTTTTTCCCGAAAACACAATCTCTATTACCTGCGTATATAGGCTGGCAGTAGGTAAAAATAGTTAGTGCTCTCCCTTTCCTTTCGTACAGCCGTCAAATTAATTTGCGTTTCTTGCGCTCAAAGTTACGCTAGTGTAAAATGTTTTATAGGCTTCAATCAAAGTAACATTTCCGGTTATCTGATTTTGCCAAACTCTAATCAACTCTTTATATGAATGTAGAAAGTTTAAATGTAGAAAATGGAAATTTTTTTGCACTTTTTAAAGAGTTCTTGCGAACGGAAAAAATTGCCATACACATATACACAAACAGACAAACATCATTCTAAAAATAGTAAAAACGCATGTTGAGGACATTAATTCGTGCTTATTCAAGGACCGAACACATTGCCTCACTAACCTGTATATATAGGTTGCTGGGAGGTAAACCATGTTATAGTAAATATCTAATAACCGATGCAATTTAATGACAGAGTGCAAATGTGCAGAAGAACATAAATCCCATCTTTTAACTTAACATCTAATAAAATAAAACAAAAACTTGTATTTTACAGAACAGTGGAGAATCTTTTAAAAATGGATGCTTATATTTTTCATTCTACATCATTTTCTTTTCTTTTTCTTCTCTTTTTGACAGATGATTGCTTAGTCTTTCCGATCAATTACTTTTATTTTTTGTACTAGTACTTTTTAAAAGAAAGATAGAACAAATGAAATAAAGATAGAAGAGAGCTCTTTGAAGTCTAAAGTTTTGTCATTTCTATTCCATACCTTCTTTTAAGCAAAATCTTTCTATTTTTCTTCCAGGAAGGAAAAATCAATAGACGTAAGAATGTTCTGTTAACAGAAGGTGGAAATTTGTTCGATGTTCACTAGGAGATAGCCTTCTATTTTGTTCCCTTAAACGTCTTATCGTTTGGGCACACATGAGAGATCACTCATTCCATTGATTGAATGGCTACATCCTTGTTTTAATTTTTCCTTGTGATTTTTAGATTTTCCTTTTGTCACGAACTCAGCGAGTACTGTCAGGTAATAGGCTTAGAATATTATCTACTGACAGAATTTATTAAATAGCAACACGTTTTCGAAAATTTTATAACAGCCCTAATTTTGGTGACTTGAAAATTCACTAAAAATGCCCTTATCAACGGCCGGAAACTCCTCTTAAAATGGAAAGAAATACCCTTAAAAATTCTCAAAAGATTTAAATTTTAACGATCGCCCAGAAGAGCTTTTAAAGGTTTAATATGGTTTACAGTAGAGATTATCGACTGAGATGGCTCAGCTGGAAGCGCGAAAACTTTTTTTTACAGGATCCCAGATGAGAATACGTTATGACAAACTTAGGAATGTTATAATATCTTCTAAATATTTAAAAAGTGAAAAAATATGTGATGTAATGTTTTTAATTAGGTACACCATGAATTAAATGCATTTTTGTTTAAGTCTATCAGATTTAAAAAAATAATAATATTTTTAAGAACTGCATCTATTGCTTTTCAGTAGTTTATTTGTTTAATTAATAACAGACAAATTAAGTATAAAAGAATAATATCTTAATTTTTTTAAATGGCAGCAGACTCAAGTTATTAAACGCATTAAATTGCATTAATCAACAACGCATTAAAGTGAAAATATATATTTGAAAAGTGAAAGAATATACAATATAAGTCAAAAATGATTTTAATTAGCTATATCACGAATTGAATACCCTTTTATTTAATTGAATCATTCAAATTTTTTAAAATTATTCTTAAGATGCTTTGATACTTTAGTTGCGTATTCTTAAGATACTTTGATGCTTTTTGCATATTCTGGTTTACAGAGGGAATTAATTCCGCTCTTACAAGAGCTTATCACGAAATCCCACGAGGGGCCTCACAAATGAGAGCTCATTAAGTTGTTCCACCGCAAAAGTGTGTACAGTAAGATAAAATATAAATACAAAATATAATAAATATAATAATAAAAATCTGAAAGATTTCAGAATTTTACAATTGCGTCCAGAGAGAGGGCGTTTTTTTTAACGTTTTGTGTGTTACCTTCATTTATTAAATATCATGTTCTTCACATATAAACCATAAAATTCAGTTCAAGCAATATCGCAATATAATTTTAAAATGAGTATATCTTTACAATTTCCGATACACAGTTTCACGCGCTGGAGATAAAATTTTTTTTCTGTACAACATTGCCATTGCTCGCTTTCAAATCCTTGAGTTTGTTAATCAAAAATTCCCTAAAGTTCTGCAAAATATGAAATTGATAATAAAACAAATTCCTGATTTCAAGTTTGGGCTTCCAGATGCCCATATACGGGTGGAAACGTTCAATATTCAAAATTTGATGGCTCTAGATACCTTGCTTTATCACAATGCGAGAAATATACATACATTTATGCAGATTCTTCCTTATTTAATTTCTTTATTATGCAGTTTCTTCCTTATTCAATTTCTTTATTATGAAGATTTTTCATTATTTAATTTCTTTAAATATAATACAAGGCGATAATATTTGGTGGCAACAATTTGAAAAGTGAAACAACGCTTATAGTGAATCAACGCAAAATGCCAAAACGAAATTAATAGTTCTTCTAAGCAGATTGTCTCTTTGGACTAACAAGAAGTAATTGAGACGGATTGTCTCTCAAATCTCACTGGCGAGTGAGGATGAGATGGCAGAAGACTAGCATTGTCCAATCAGGGGTTTTATGTGAATCCTGCTGAGCTACTAAAAGTTTTAAAGTCCAAAATTTTCGATAAAATTAATACGAAGGTTACACATGTTATATACAAAAAAAAAAAAAAAAAAAAAAAAAGCAAAATAAAGAGAAATAAAATATTTCTGTAATTATATTTACAGAAATCATTTATAATTTTTATACAGCGAAAAATAAAAGCGTGAGGAGGCTAAATAACGAAATATCTTAATTTAAATATTAATTGTCAAATGGCATTAGCTTTTTTTTAATTTATCATGGACGCCGCATGCTTTATTATTCCTTATATAAAATTTCAGATGAATTCTGCAAATAAAATTATTTAATCTAGTATACCCATTAAACAATATGATTATTATTTTTCTCTTTTTAATGCATTACTTATTATATTCATTTTAAAAAACGCTTATTGTATAAAAAGCTTTTTTAACTTTATTTTATCATAGTACCTTGAAATTTCACGGCGGATGGGGAAAAACTATTTAAGACTGGACAGAGCATTAGTTATTAATTTTTAGTTTAGTGTTAAGTTTTTAGTAGTGTAAGATCTCCGGGAGAGCTTCGTTCTTTAAATGAACTGTGCATTGCATTGCGTTTGACGTTCTCATTAGTTTGAAGTGGTAACTACTGATTATGCTGTGTCACATGGCGAAGAACTGTAGGAGTACTTTTGTGAAAGTTCCAAAACTGTATAGTGTTTCTTTAGAGAAATAAACATTTTATCAAGCTATCATTGGTTCTGTGAGTATTCAATTCATTACGAACCCGGACGCAAGTAAGTATATATCTCGAATATCAAGAAATTACATTTTTAGAATTTTGGTGCTTTCGCAATTAATAATTTGATTAACTGAAAAAAGGGAAGAAAATTACAGAATAAATTAGATAATGAAAAATATTCACACTGGCTTGAACGTTAATAATTAAAGAAATCCAAATTCTTTTTGGTATTTATTTCAATAAGAGATTCTGAATGTGTTTCGAAGGCTTGAACGTTAATAATTAAAGAAATCCAAATTCTTTTTGGTATTTATTTCAATAAGAGATTCTGAATGTGTTTCGAAAGACCATAACAACGGAGCTCTCTTCATCAGAGACCAAATACCTATGTTTGTATTAGGTGTTGCACAGTGCAGGATTTACGTATAAGCTATACA